TGACACTCTCCTCGTTCCTCGTCTCTGAAAAGCTTCCCCAGAACACAGGGTCTAAATCTCAACCTTTGGCAACAACCTAAAAAATAAATGTTTCTATGTAAATATAAAGTTATTCTATTGGTAATTTCACAATAAATTAAATATCGTGACTTCAATAAAAGTAAGACTGCTTTTAGCTTACATTGTAACCTATTACGTAATTGCCCTTTTCCCCCAACCTGATATATTTCTACTAGATGACAGATTGCTCCCTCGATCACCACTTCATATATTTTATAAGAGCATCAGAGGAGACATCTCACAATCATTGTGGTGGCCGCCCCACGTGGAAACCCCCTTCTAAAGGTTTCTCTGAACCCACTAAGATTATATAATATTTTTACCCAATTAGAAAAAGATAACCCACTTAAAAATGGCAAAAGAGCTAAACAGATGTTTCTCCAAGAAAACCTAGAAATAAATGGTCAGTAAGTATATGAAAAACTGTACAATAGCATTAGCTATCAGGGGAAGGTAAATGAGAACACATAAAGACACACCATTTCGTATCCACTAGGGTGACTGCAATCAACACAATAAACATTAGCAGAGGTGTTAAGAAACTGGAACTTTCATACACTACTGATGAATATAAAAAGACACAATTCTTGGGAACAATGCGGAAGTTTGTCAGCCTTAAGGTACACATTGAGCTCTAATGCCTAACATTTCTACTTCTACGTAGATGCTCGAGGGAAATGAAATCTTGTGTCCACTAAAACATGTGTATGCAAATGTTCATATTGAGACTATTCATAATAACCAAAAAGTGCAAATCCAACGTCCATTTACTGAAGGATAAAAAAATCTATATTCCTACAATGAACTATTATTCAAAAATGAAAAGGAATGGAGTACTGATGCATGATACAACATGGGTGGACCTTGAAAACATTATGCTAAATGAAAGAAGCCCATTATAAACTACATTTTTAAGATTTCATGCATATAAAATACCCAGGAGCAAATCCATAATGAAGGAGATTAGTTTGCCAATAGCAAGGAAGAAAGGATAATGAGGAAGGACTGCTCAGAGGTTCAAGGTTTCTTTCTGGTGTGATGAGAGTACTCTACAGTTAAGATGATACTCTATGAAACCACTGAAAACCACTGACTTGTTAATCAACAAGCAAAAAATCAGGTTCTCCAACCTGACTAAGAACCTATTTCTTTCTGACATTCTAAATACCTAACACCACAATGTTTCATAAATAGATCAGAAAAGTAGTTTCTCCATTGCACAAGGTAAACTGTTCTATCTGGAACAATGCTAACTTGATAGCTGATGGCCCACTCAGTCAGAGATAATTTAAATTTTTTCAGTCAGTGGGTGTGGTGATGCACACCTGTACTCCCAGAACTCTGGTAGGTAGAGGAAAGAAGATTGCAAGATTGAGCCCAGCCTGGGCATCTTAGCAAGACCCTGCCTCTAAACAATAAATTAAAAATGTAGGTAGGGGATGTAGCTCAGTACAAAGACCCTGGGTTCAATCCCCATACTCAAAAAACAAAACTTTCAAACAATCAGTAATAAATTTCAAAAGCCTTAAAATGTTTATATCTTATTTCCAAGAGCTTATCATCTATGATATATGCAAAAAATTTGATGTATTACATAAAACTGCTTATAATATTTATGGAAAAAGCAGGCTACAATGTATGCAATTATAAAAACAATCTATTTATATGCAAAAAGTCCTAGAATGAAGTAGGCACACGGGAGCAGTAGCTTTTTAAAGATGTTAGGACCCTAAGTAATGTTTTAGCATTTTCAATAAAGTTCTCATTTCTTTTTTACAGAGATTTTGAAAAATGTTTCAATAAAAATAGGAAGAAGCTGTTCCTACATTATTGGTCATAAGCCAGAAATAAGAATTTAAATTGGGTTCATTCCATGGTGAGTTTATAACCCTAGAAAATGTTTGCTTTTCTTTATTTGTCCAATAGACATGATTAAAAATAATAGTTACGGCGACTCGTCTCCTGAATCCTGTGCCAGTGCTCTCAAGCTTGATCCAGGGAGACCTCCTCTGGAAACGACGGAGAAGTTCAGTCTGGAGTTCAAACTGAGCTTTGCCCCAACCACTGCAGTGAAGAGAGTCTCTCGTAGAACATTCGAGTCAGCATCTCTGTGTCTAGCTTGTGCTAACCATCTACCAGAGGCAAGAGAATTGACCGCCACACTTTATGAAATAATGGGGAAGAAATTCTCACCAGAACCATCAAAGAATGCAGAGCTAATTACTTGGGTCAAATCCATCGGGCCCAATTTATCTTGCCTGAAAACAAAGAATGTTCAGGAGAAGATGCATCGCACAGTGAATGTCTGTTTCTTGTAAATGTTAGTGAAAACAGTGGCTGCTAATAACTCTTGGAAGATTAAGCTGATTTGTTTATAAATATAACCATATTTCCCGGCTTGACAGTTCTTAGCAGTGCTCTGTTGCTGATATTGACTCTATTTTAAATGCAGACAGATTACAAGAGGATCTCACTATAACCTACAATCAACCCCACTCTTATCTGACCCACGCATAGCTCCACCACGAGGGACTAGAGTACAAACAAATGCTAACGGGAGTTCCTATCTGCAGGAACTATCCGGAGTCTGAAAGACAAGGAAACCATGGGTAACTATTGAGAACACTAGCCTACCAAAAATGCCAAGAGTCATTCTGGTGAATCTTTCTTTGCTTAGGAAAAAAAAAGTTGATCACTGTGTGTTGGTTACAGTAGGGACGTGGACTGAGAGCATCCCTCAAGGAAGGGCAGGATTTGCACAGGCACAGAGGAAGAAAGGCACTTTTGGCTGAAAGTGTGTTCAAGCAAGTGCTTGGATACAGCAGGACCCACCTCCTGCCTTGAGAAAAGGTAAATAAGTCAATGCAGGTGAAGACAGGAATAAGACAGAAAATTCTACAGAGATACTAGGCATAGGGCAGTGAGTCTTGAAATCTAGTCCAGGAACTGCCTTTCACTTTCTGACAACAAGAAACCTCACTCAGGAAAACCAAATGACATTGCATCAACCAAGATTCAAAATCCTGAACCCACATGATAGAAATGGGAATGGAAAAAAAAAAAAAAAAAAAAAAAGAACCTGGAAACATGCCAAAAAGAAAGAAATACACATAAAAGAATTTGGCCTTTGCCCCACATCGAGCCAACTATTTAGGGCAAGGGTTGAGATAGGTGTTTGGTGAAGCAATGAGTCCTGCAGAAACACACACATATGAGTGTCAAAGTGAGGGGGCAGCCAATTACTTTGGTTCTGAAAGGTTGTATAAGGTACCTCCACTGGGCTGCTAGCCACCTTCTTTCTACAAGTTGATTTTGTCTTTTCTTATTCTAATGTGGTGGTGGTACCCACAAGTTATCATTTTTCTCAACATAAGCAGCAAAGATATATTTCAAAGACCAGATATGAGTCACTCACTTGTCATCATCCTATCATATTTTTAAATGTGACATTCGCAAATATGAACTTGAAGAACGTATAATTTAGTGGTGATTCCGTGTTACCAAAAAGCAAAAGCCATGCATGATATCACTTTAAGTAACAACATTCTCCAGATTCAATCGGAAGGTCTTACAATTAAATACATGACTACCTTTTTTTTTTTTAATCATACCATTGTAGTTCACTCACATACATGCACACACACACACACAAATACACTCATAAGCTACTGATCACATAACCCCTCCTTTTGGTGCCAACATTGGTCAAGATATTAATGATCTTCAATTACCTCATGAAACTTTTTGTGGAAATTAGACTGTATAAACATGTATCCCCATCACCTAATTAAAACTTGCAGACCAAAGTGAAAGCCTAAGATTTGTGAAGCAAAAGTTGTGTTTCTGATTTCCTAATAAAAATCTCTTAATCTCTTAAATCCAAAAGCCCTGGTAGATTGTTAGGTTGGAAGCACGGTAAAGCAAGGAAGTAAGAAAGGGCTGAGGTCTTACAATAAGTGCCAAACATTGTCTACCAACTATTTGGCGGGGGGGGGGGGGTTCTCAACAGAGTTCTAAGTTTCTCACATTTTTCAAAACAAAAGACATTTCAGCTTCATCTGTTTAAAAATTAAGTCACCAGTATTTAACATGTGTGGCTCCAATTAGATGAAGGAGAGAAAAAATAATTAAAGAATTGCAATACGTTATTTGTGTGTTCTGTGTATTAGACAATAACTTCTTTAGCCTTTAGATGCCATGGAGCATGCAAGACTAGGAATTCAATGGTGGACAACCTCTGACTATCCGTGCTCTTATGGAACCCATCATGCAGTATGAAGGAGGTACAAATAGAGCGGTCAAATATGAAAGTACAGACCGGCCAGTACTATGAAAGCAAGGTATATAATCTGAGGCTGAGAGAATTTAAAAAACGAGGAGCCACTGGGGTAGACACTGGCAGAATTGAGTATAATTAAAAAGGAGAACTCTGAAATAAAAAGTTATGACTGAGCAAAACTGGAGTGTGCTAATTAATAGACATTGTATAGTTCCCTACGGCAGAACCAGTAGAACTGTAACAGTAATGAAAGCTATCAAGATAAAAAATTTCTTGAACTGTAAAATGCAGCTAGTCAACGAATACATTCACATTATTCTGAAAAGCTATCCCAGGGGCTTCTTCATTTGATGTAGGAAAACCACCATTTAAGCATTAATTAATAACCACCCCAAACCAAAGCACTGTGGGGCCTCTGGGTACATTTATAGAGAGCATAGTGTGACTTGAGGTGGTAATTTAGCAATTTGAGTTTCCTGAACTGAGACGTCTTAATAATTCTGAGTAGGAAGCACTCCTGCTGTCCTTTTTGCTACTTTGTAAAGCAAAGCCCTTAATTTACAGGACTGTGCAGAGCATTCCTCTCCTCTCGCATCTGCTCCAGTCTTTGCCCAGTAGAAAGGGGCTCACACGTGAGAACCCTCATGGGAAAAGTACTCACTTTCTTTCCTCAAGCAGGGCGATCTCTTTTTTGACCTCATGGTATTCTTCTGCTATTTGGCAGTGCTGTGTGTATACCTGCATGGATTCTGCGGAGTCATGACAAGGAGGCAGAGGCTACAAAAACAAGAAGAAGAAGAAGAGATCAGTTCATTTCTGTGGATCCTAATAGATTACCAGCAATTTCGCTCTGCTGATGTTCGTGAGAGAGAGACGTTTTGCATGCAAGCAGCACTGTCAATGAAGATTGAACAGAGAGGCTACTTGACTGAAGGTGGAGACGTGGACTGATCCTCCCTACACACTGAGCCCTGAAACCCATTACCTGTCAGTTGCCTGTTGGGGGAAAGTGTCTCTGAATGATTCTGTAATTCTCCCCAGAAATCTTAATCTGCTTTGGGAAAGGGCAGTTATGGGGAAATAACTCTTTCAATCACCCCATCCTGGCTGTTTCAGTAGCTGGCAGGCACAGTCTCTCTCTCTCTACAGGGTAGAATAGCCCCACAAGAAGGACTCTCTTCTGAGAAAAGCACTCAGCCTGGAGAGATGATGCTGGGCAGGACATAATGCTTCCCAGAATTAACAAACCTGTGTGAAAAACCAAACTCTGAATAATATGCTCATCATATGAGGACAGTGTGATTACAAGTTTGTGTTTCTCCTTCTCTCCCATTCATGAGAGGAAAAAAGACTAGCTTGGCAAACCTTTCTGAACACAAAAATGGTAAAACCCTACTTTATAGATATTATTTTTAGCCAGGTGGCACATGCCTGTAATCCTAGCACTCAGGATGAAGAGGCACGAGGATAGGGACATTACTTAATTGTCATTTAAAGAGTTTTCATAATCACCCTTTTCACTTATTCATATATAAAAGTATGGAAATATGAATTCATTGCAAAATAGGCTCTTCAATCCAACCCTTTCCTCACAACAGTCTATATATGTAAATGGTATGTTCCTATTCCCATCAAGTCTATGTTATCACTTGAGTGCTATGAATCAGTTATTATTTTGTCCCCTCATAGTCTTCAAAGACACAGATTTAATTGGGTGTCATATTTAGGGATCCTGCCCTGACAAGAAAGGAGAAGAGAGGCTATTATTAGACCAGAAGAAGGGAAGAGGGGGAGGGAAAGGAGGCAGGGTGAGGGCAGGGAATAGGAGCAGGATGGTGATCAAAATACACCCTGAAACCTTCCCCCAAAAGATGTGAACCTGGGGGGGGGGTGGCAATGGGAGCACAGGGAGAGGTGATTAAAGCACGTTGCATGCATGTCCAAATCTGCCAACATGAAACTCTTTAATCTGTATAACCAATATGCACTAATAGAAAATGTGGAAAGGAAAGAAGGGAAAAGAAAAACTATGAGAAAAGGAAAAAATGGAAACAAAGTCTTTGTAAATAAGGAAGGGTGGAAGGGGTGAAGGAAGGGCAGGGGAATAGGGAAAAAATAAGAACCGAGGTACAGAATGTGAAGTCACAAGATCCCAATGATGACTATAACTCTTCTGTACACCTAAAATGTACCAATAAATTTAATGGGAAAAAGTGGGGAAATTAATGTTATAAAAATTCAAAGTGTACTGTTTTCTTGATGTATAAGATGGCCCCACTTATTTATTGTGAAACCTCTTAGTAGAGCGAGACATTCTAAAAGAAATAAAATTCTAAGTAGCTGTGGGCATGTATTGGAATGTCACACTAAGCCGCATTAATATGTACAATGAATATATTTGTTCAAAAAGTAAAATTTTTCAAAGATTTAAAAATTCTGAATAGATCAGTGTCAAATTTGCCTTCATTTGAAACACTATTATGACCTAATTCGTGTAAGATCTAATAATAGCTGTTCTGTGCAGCCTCTTTCTCCGCTGCTCCAAGAACATACTCACTGCACAAACTCAGCCTATCATAACACTACCTTTTTTATATAGAAATAAACTGAAAAGCAGTGAACCGTAGTACTAGAATCTAATTCATTCCCTGCGAGGAAGCGGCTGCCAAAGGAATTCAGAATTCCTGGCTTCTCCAGTCTGTGTCCAGAAACCACCACCCACTCACCGATTTTTCACCTGTTCCACTGGCAAATTACCAGGTACAACAGTCAGAGGAATGAAAGCAATGTACGCTGAGCTTCCCAGCCAAGCTGTTAAATCATCTGTGCCCAGTTAAAGGATTTAACTACTGGCAGCCCTAGACTCTACACCGTACCCTGTCCTCATGAATACCACACATGCCACACTCCATTCAAACGAGACTTGGATGCATAATTTGCCACTGGCAGTGTGTGAATCACAAATGTGGCGTCGTCACCCATATAATAAAAAGCCGGAAGATCCAAGGACTCTCTATTCCGGATTTGCATGCTTAAGGGAATCTACCCAAGAACAGTTATAATTAAAAAGAAAACTTTAAAACTCGCACATGTAATTATTTAGGCAGACAGAGCTTTCTTTTCCTCCCCCATCCCTCGCTTGCCACTTTGCAAAGTTTTTTGAATAAGTGGGATTTTTTTCATATTTGTTGGCCTTTTTCACTGTGGGAAATTTAAAAGAATGAGCATGCTGCTAAAGGCACACAAGGGTAGAAAGGTAGCATTTCAGAATATTTTTGATATCCTAGCAGGCTCTTAGCAGGATGTCCGTGTGAGCTATATGTGGTCATATTTTCAGGCTTTCCCACAATAAAGAAGTGGCGATTTAAAATGAACAAGCATCACTTCTCAGACTTTTGGCTAAGATCCAGCAGCCAGGCCTGGTGGTGTGCACCTATAATTCCAGCTACTCAGGAGGCTGAGGCAGGAGGATCACAAGTTTGAGGTCAGTCGGGGCAATTTAGCAAGACCCTATCTCAAATTTTTTTAAAAAATAATAAAATATACAAGGCTGCAGATGTGTCTCATAGCTCCCTTGATTCAAACCCTATGGCCCCCCCAAAAGTCCAAAATACTTAATACTCAATGATTCAGTAAATAAAAAGTTAAAGAGGTCAGGCATCATTTCAGTCTCTAGTTACTAGGCTCTGTCTCAGCCAAAATCTGACCTCTATTATTTGACACCACTCAAGGACTTACAATTTTCGTAAAAACATAAAAGAGCAATACTGACTTCTTTTTTTTAAGCAAGAAAAGGTGCTGTATTACACAAGTTGCCATAACACTGTAAAATGATCTCATTAGGTGCCACAGCCTGGATGAAGGGGGCATGGAAAGTTGTTGTTTAATGGGTACAGCTTCAATTTTATAAGATTGTGATAAAGTTCTTGAGAATGGTTGAACCACAATATAAATACACTAAACACTGGTGAACTGCACACTTATGAATGACTCAGGTGGTGGTTCTTTATCGTTTTCTTAACCACAGTTTTTAAAAATTAATGCAAAAAAGCATCGCATTTGACCCTTCTGCTGCTGCTAGCACATCTTTGAAGTATGTTTAACAGACTTCCATGTCTGAGGTTTACTCCATTTCTACCCTGCCTTTCCCACTGTCTCAGATTGCTCTCTAGGGAACTTCAGATTTCTCACCTCTTTACGATCTGAGCTATTCACTGCTGACCACAAGAGTGCTGGCCAAAGTGTCCTGTGGTCAGCAGGATCTGTGGTCCCTAGAAGACAGGTGACATCATTGGACATTTATTCCTGGAACATTTATCCCAGGAACCTCTTCAAATAATTTATTTGAACCCAAAAAATTCTCATCCCAAGAGAAATTGTGACAAATAAAAATATTGAGATATTTAGGTTTCATACCTCATATGAAAAGTAGAAATAAAGACTCATGAGAGGCATCGTTCTGTGCGACAGAAATCTCTCGTCTTATAACATAATGTGTGCCAGCGTATGGTGTCACCAGATCCTTACAGACAACAATTCTTTTATCTTCTTATAACCTCTCAAAACCAGAGACAATCTATGACCAACAGGGTTTGCTGAATAAAAGCATCCATCTGAAGAAAAAAGTTTCCTAAAATTTGAGCACAGGAATCAGGTTTCTGATTTTTAAATGAAACTACCAGTAGGCTTCAGTAATGTGCTGTCTGAACTACTGGCATTTATGAGTTAATCAGCAGAGCCGGGATTGGAGACATTCTGTAATACCTGTTCAAATTTAAAACTATACAATAACCTCAAAAGAATGCCTGGAGGGGCTCGTGATTCAGCTCAGTGGTTCTGCTGCCTGCTTTGCAAGTGTAAGGACCCGAGTTCCACCCCCACTACCAAAAAAAAAAAAAAAAAAAAAAAAAAAAA